GTATACCCTCTTCCCTTTTTAACATTTTAAGAAACATTTTGTTGACTCTATTTAGCCCAGACTTTGGCTCCTGTGATGAGTTCAGTTTCACAGCTGCCAAGTCCACCAATTATACGCGACTTTGGACTTGTTTGATTTATAAATTCCATCTGTCCGTCCATCCGTCCTCCGCTTGTTCAGAGAAATAGTAGTTGGTCATTTAAACTTCTGTTCATCTTGTCTCTGTCTACTAAAGAAAAAATACATAGTTTGTGCAGCACTTGCAATCTCAACCACAGAAGGATTATATGCTTCAATAACAATCAGCAGGATTATAGTCACTAACAAAGTGTCTAAGTACTGTAAAAGCTAGAGAATAATACATTAAAACTTCCAACTGATGGGGTGAAACTGCAGAATGTTGGTGGGTGGGTCACTCTTTGGGTGACTTTTGGAGATCGGGTTGTCCTTTTCTCTGGTAATGCTGCTCCACTGTGAACAACCAAAGGAAGCTATAACAAGAGATCCATGTCTTCTCCAGCAGGTTTATTTGTATCTATCAGCACAGACTGGTATTTGTATTTACTTGGCCCCAGCAGCAGGACTAATATGTAGGATCACTGCAGGGGACACAACTCTTACTCTAGAAGCTTTGATTACTAAAAGCATCACTATAACTCCAGATCACTTGTACCCTCTTGGAAAGGTTCAGTATTAAATATAATTACTGCAGTGATGATTTTTACCTTTGTATTAAATGCATCTTGGGCAGCAAGACATTAAGGATCATAATAGGTGACCTCTTCACCTGTGCTCGAAGCAATCTCACTCATCACTTCCACATCATCACCTCCTCATTTAGACAAGAACTCTCCAGGTTTCCAAAGTGAGTAACTCAAAGGTCACTCCTAACATCTGATAAACACCCCACCAGCTGAGCACCACTATGGCTATGGATACTCAAATTAGATTTAAATAGCCTGTGTTACCTCCTTGTGGACTAAGCTCAGCCATCTCCACTCTTGCACAAAAGCACACTGACTGTCTTCAGCTGCTTTGTGTACAAAATGTCATGGCATTGAGAACGACAAAATCACAGCGACATTGTTGTTCACATTATTAATAATAATAATAATAATAATAATAATAATAATAATAATAAAATAATATACTTAGCATTTAAATGTTTCAGCTCTCCTATTAAACTACCTACAGAATTTAGTTAATTCCCTGTACTGTCACATCTAGGCTGGACTATTGCAACTGTTTATTATCTGGATGTCCAAATACTTCTTTAAAAAAGTCTTCAGTTGATCCAAAATGCTGCTGCCAGAGTCTTAACTGGAGTTAGGAGAGATCATATCTCTCCAGTTTTAGCTTCTCTCCATTGGCTCGCTGTCAAATCCAGAATAAAATTCAAAATCTTACTTCTAACCTACAAAGCTCTCAACAACCTAGCTCCATCTTATATTGGAGATCTTATTGTTCCATATTTTCCTAGCAGAGCACTTTGCTCTCAGACTGCAGGTTTACTTGCGGTTCCTAGAGTTTGCAAAAGCAGAATGGGAGGAAGATCTTTCAGTTATCATGCTCCTCTCTTGTGGAACCAACTTCCAGTTTCTGTCTGTAAGGTTGACACATTGTCCAGTTTTAAGACTGGGATTAAGACTTTCCTTTTTGATAAATCATATAGTTATGGTTGGCTTGTTATACTGTCTTAAGCTTAGACTACTGTGTGTTTAATAAAATAGTTCATGAGTTTGAGTTCCTAAAGTAAAGTTTGGGTCTACTTGGGTCTAACTTCCTGCCACTGTGACACATTATGCATTCAAATACATGTTAAATACTATACTGTAAAGTAAAATGGGGCGGTGGCACAGTTGGTAGAACTGTTGCCTCAGCCAGGTCACCGGTGCAAATGCCGGCTCGGGACCTTTCTGAGTGGAGTTTTGCATGTTCAGAGAGTCAGAGTCAGAGTCAGAGTTTCTTTATTGTCATTTGCACCTCATGTGGTACATGTGGTGGAGCGAAATTATGTACACAGGGTCCCAGTTACATCCAACAATAAAATGTATAAGAAAAACAGTAATAACATCTAAGATATGAACTAAGAAAAACATCAACTAAATATACACTAAGCACTCATAACATAAAACATTGAACATCACCACAAACATGAACATGAGTCTGTGAGCAGATGTGCACGCATGAACGCATCAACATTGAAACAGATCAGCAGCAACATGAAACAGATCAGCAGCAACATGATATGGTTTTTCACAGTGATTATTCTAGTTAGAGATTCATGAGTCTAACAGCCTCAGGGTAGAAGCTGTTCCTCAGTCTAGTGGTTCTACACTTAATGCTCCTTAACCTCCTTCCTGAGGGGAGTGGGGCAAAAAGTGTGTGTGCTGGGTGGGTGGGGTCCTTCATGATGCAGGTGGCCCTCTTCCTGCATCTGGAGGTGTAGATGTCTGTGATGGTGGGGAGACTGACTCCAACAGATTTCTGTGCAGCCTTCACCACTCTCTGCAAAGCTTTTCTTTCTGCAGCTGTGCAGCCTCCATGCCACACGTTGATGCTGGAGCACAGGATGCTCTCCACTGCACACCTGTAGAAGGAGGTGAGGACTGAGCTTCCCAGACCAGCTCGCCTCAGCCGTCTGAGGAAGTAGAGTCTCTGATGAGCTTTCTTGATCAGGCTGGTGGTGTTGTTGCTCCAGCTGAGGTTGTCATTCATGTGTACACCCAAGTACTTGTAGCTGGAGACCACTTCCACCGCAGATCCTCTTATGTTCAGGGGGGTGTAGGTGTTTTTGTTCCTTCTGAAGTCCACAATCATCTCCTTTGTCTTCTTCACATTGATGTGAAGGTTATTCTCTCTGCACCAGCTCTCCAGGTGTTCCACCTCCTGCCTGTAGCTGGACTCATCATTGTTTGTGATGCATCCCACCACCGCTGTATCATCTGCAAACTTTACAATGTGACAGCCTGGATGGGTAGCTGCACAATCATATGTGAGCAGAGTAAACAGGAGGGGGCTCAACACACATCCCTGAGGAGAGCCAGTGCTAAGGGTTATGGTGGAGGAGGAGAGGTTGTGGATCCTCACTAACTGTGGTCTGTTTGTTAAAAAGTCTAGTACCCAGTTGCAGATGGAGGGGCTTAGTCCTAGTGTGGATAGTTTGTCCATCAGGGTTTGGGGGATCATGGTGTTGAAGGCGGATGTGAAGTCCACAAAGAGCATACGGACGTAAGAGTTTTTCTGCTCCAGGTGGTTGAGTGCAGTGTGGACCACAGAGGAGATTGCATCCTCTGTTGATCGGTTCTCACGGTATGCGTACTGATGAGGGTCCTCGTTGATGTTGATGGTTGTTTTGATGTGAGTCGTGACCAGTTTTTCGAAGCATTTAGCGACTATCGGGGTGAGGGCCACTGGCCGATAGTCATTCAGACCAGTCACTGTAGAGCTTTTTGGGACTGGGATGATGGTGGCAGTCTTCAGGCAGGTGGGAACTGTCTCTAGGGTAAGTGAGGTGTTAAAGATGTCTGCCAGCACCTCACAGAGCTGATCAGCACATTCCTTCAACACTTTTCCGGGGATGTTGTCTGGGCCAGTTGCTTTGTGCGGATTAATCCTCCTGAAGGTACTCCTTACTTCTGCTGAGGTCACGCTGAGATGCTCTTCATCCGGTGGTGAGGTGTTATGTTATATGTCATGTCATGTCATGTTATCTCCATGCATGTGTGGGTTTTCTCCCACAGATCAAAAACATGCATGTTAGACTGATTGGTAACTCTAAAGTGTCTCTAGGTGTGAGTGAGAGAGTGAATGGTTGTTTGTCTCTATGTGTCCCTGTGATGGACTGGAGACCTGTCCAGGGTGCCCCCCGCCTCTCGCACAGTGACTGCTGGACATGGGAAGCAGTGACTCCCACAATCCAAAACGGAAGAAGCGAGTAAAGATAAAGGAAGGATGGATAAAATAAATTGTTCATTTGTTTAATTTTAACACAATATTCTCTAACATTGGAGTAACTGCACCAATTATCCAAAAATACAATGCACAATTTAAACCAAATATTTAAAAAAGTAAATAGTTTCAGTAGTGTCCTTAAATTATTATCATTATATTAACTTTTATTTAACCAGGTAAATCCCATAAAGAATACAGATCTCTTCTCAAGGGAGGCCTGGGCCTCAAGGCAGCCTAACCTGCATGTTTTTGGACTGCAGTGTTCAAACCACACACACACAGACCCCCCCCCCCACACACACACACACACACAAGTAGTTTGCTAAGATACTTGCTACTATAAAGCATCATTGTTAGTATAAAGTAAGTAAATTGTAAATTGTAGGACACAGTCGAATGATGATGATTTTTGTTAAAATGGGTTATTGTTCTGGATGTCTCAAAGGAAGGACATAGGTAACAGTGGCAGTTTTGGTCAGTCAATTTAACAGAGCTCTGGGTGTTTAGAGGTTTATTCAGGCTTTACTGAGGCAGTGCCAGCATCCCTCATGACCACTGCCAAAGGGGTCCTCATGGGGTCAGCTAGAAGTAGGATATGATCAGGAAATTGGTACAGTGACAGAGTATGGTGAGGTTGTGTGTGTATGTGTGCATGCGTGTGTGTGTGTGTGTGTGTGTGTGTGTGTGTGTGTGTTAGAGAGAGAGAGAGAGATCAGTTGTGGATGGTAGAGCAAGGGAAACGTCGGGAAGTAGGGCAATGTGTGCACATGCCTGTTCCGAATCTCTGTTTAGGATTTTAGGAGAAAAAGGATGAAACAGAGGTTTACCGCTGGGCCGGCAGTGGGGCGTCCAGCTAGTCCAGCAAGTCCAGCAAGAGTTCTTAGGGCCGTTGGCCATCTGAGCGCTGGCCATGGCCTCTTTTCTGTCTGTGCAGTGCCACAAAGCCAACCAGGTCACGCGATCGACTGAGGTGGTTTATGCATACGCTCGGATATGGAAGGATCAACACATCCGGCGGAGACAAAAAGGAGATAAATGGATGCAATATGGCACATCAGAAGCTCATCCCTTCAGCCACGCTGACACAGGAGAGCAGAGTGAAGCGCGTGGGGTCGATTGATTGGATCACTTTCAGTCAGCATGCAGATTATATTGTTAGGTCATCAGGAGAGTAGAGACGGGTCACAGCAGGTGCCATCTGTTAAACAGACAGAAACCTCTGGGAAGGCAAAGAGCGGAGCAGCGTTTAGATCAAAATGATTAGGTAGATGAGGCGTGCTACTGTAGGCGACCCATCACACACACGCCTCATCAGGGACGTAGTTCTTGTTAGTAAATGAATGTACGCTGCAACACACACGCCATGGAGATGCAGTGGCAGGCTCTCATCTTAGCTGAGGAGCGGCCTATTCATCTGCACAGAGGAGGACAAAGCGAGCGCGCAGCACTCAGGAAATTGCAGCCACGCAATTTACAATCGTTAGGCAGAGGTGGAGGACACGGTCACACACACACACACTGCTACATTTTCATCAGAACTCTCACACACATCCATGTGTGCACAGCCATTCACACTGGTGCTGGTTGTTTCCCCCGCCTGGGTCTTTGAACAGTTCAATGAGGACTCTTTTCAGCAAAGTGAATAGCCCCTCTGATTCCCCTCCACGTTGTGTGTGCGCGCGTGCAAGCTGGTGTGTGTGCACGAGAGTCACAGCTCTGCGCTGGTGTGTATGCGTGGGTCCTTCATCTTTTGTGTGAGGCCAGCTGAGGGGTGAGAGCTGTTCTTCATGTGGCTCGGCCTCACAAACGAGCTGTTCAGCCCCGATGTGAAGCCCGGGGGAAGCTGTGGGACAAGCTGATCCTCCATCGCTCTTTATATTGAACCTGGGACGAGATTAAATCAACCCTAGACACGTGACTTTATCCACTCAAGTGTGTTGCAGGCGTCATTATTCACTAAGGATAAGTTCAGTGCTCATTTCTAACTCTGTTTGATGCTCTGTTCTAAAGACTGCCTGACGCTTTCTCCTGAAATCATCAGCTTTTTAGTTGATATGTTTCCAAGATAAAATGTTTTCAATTATGCATTCCATTTAGAGAATGCTTTTATCTGAAGAGCCTCGCAGAGCCATAAAAGCATACTTTTAGTGTGTACTCGTTCCCCCCAAAATCATGCCACTAAAGCTGAAAAAAGCCGACACACAAATAAAAAGCTTTCAGTTTATCAATTTGTCTGTTTGTTTCTGGGGAAATAAAAGTCCGTTTCACTCCATTACTCTGACCACTCTCTGTTGATGTCCTCTCTGTGGAAATAGGGCTCCCTCCAGTGGAAGAGATGTGCAATAGCCCACCCAATATATTAGGAGCAAATCTTTTAATTGTCTTTTTTTATTTTCTTTTTGTGACTTTTAAAATGTCTCTCTCCCATTCCAGGTGATAATTTACCAGAATGGCCAGGTGTTCCACCTCGCCAACCATCTCAATGGCCGCGTGGGCTTTGTGGCCACCATGCCAAGCACAAGTGCCTCCATCTTCATCAACAACACCCAGCTGTCTGACACTGGGACCTACCAGTGCCTGGTAAACAACTTCCCCGACAGAGGAGGGCGAAACATCGGTGTCATTGGCCTCACAGTGTTGGGTAACTAACCGCACATCCCCACGTGTTTTGTTTTCATGAAATTGATGTGAAGGTTATTTTATCCTCCTGCAGTCGCATGTTGGGGACAATGTTTTTTGACTGGTTGTTCTTATTCAGGGGGACTAGATATTAGGTTTTGTTGTTAACTTTTAAATAAATATGTTTATGTTAGGGCAGCATGGTGGCGCAACTGGTAGAGCTGCTTCCTATCCCTGGTTCAAATCCCGGTCTGGGGGCATTTCTGGTTGGAGTTTGTATGTTCTCTTCGTGCATGCGTGGGTTTTCTCCGGGTACTCCAGTTTCCTCCCACAGACCAAAAACATGCATGTTAGACTGATTGGTAACTCTAAATTGTCCCTAGGAGTGAGTGAGTGGTTGCTTGTCTCGTTTGTCTCTATGTGGCCCTGTGATGGATGTCCCCCACCCCTTGCACAGTGGTTGCTGGACATGGGCACCGGTGACCCCCGGGACCCAAAATGGAAGAAGCGGGTAAAGATAATGGATGGATGTTTATGTTATGTTTACAAATTTACCCAAAAAGCAAAATAAAAAAACAAACAAACAATATTTTAAGCAAAAGCTTGGGACACAAGGGGACACATATAGTGGGTTATAAATATGTTGCAGAACATCAGCAATAGACTATTTTTGTTGAATGAGATTTTCCTCTATCTTTAAAAAATTTTTTTTTGCAATGAGCAAAGTAATTAAAAACTTTGCTTTTTAAAGTGTTTAACACATCACCCACTCTTTCCATCTGATAGTGCCCCCCTCGGTGCCAGCGTGTCGGATCCAGGGAGCGCTGGATGTAGGCAGCGACATCATGCTGTTCTGCAGCTCAGAGGAAGGGATTCCCACGCCGTCCTACTCCTGGGAGAAGCTTGACGCGCTGCCCAGGCTGCCACCCAACGCCATGCAAGGTATTACAAACAAGCTGGCCGTCGGAGTTCCCTTTTGCCCCACCTTTGCTGGTAAATGTCACACACGTAGTGGGAGTCTAGTTCCTCCATCAACCTGTCATGTGCCAGGCCCACGTTGACACCTGCCTCAAAGGTTTCCCCTTCACTGATGAGTCTGTCTGTGTGTTTTATGTCTCAACTCATGTTGAATACCAACTCTGCAAACACTCTTCTCTGTGACAACCGGGAAGGTGTTCTTGCTTTGACAACAAACTGTGCACCGTCCTCAGCCAGGATTTCAAAATGAAGCAGTGTACAAAAGAGCATTTTTGGTTTTCAGCATCAGTTGGAACTGGTCTAGTGCACTCTCCTTTCTTTATTTTCCAGTCCTCACATCATCACTCTGTACACTACTACTCAGTGGAAGCTTTTCACACACAGACTGTAATGACAGCAGATAAAAGAGTGAAATATTACGAGAACAAAGTCGTAATATTATCAGAACTCCAAGACGACAAAGCAGTCTTGTAAAATGATGAATGTTGAGCATCTTATTAAGTTATGTATACTTTGGTACTGGTTTTTACAAATAAGGACATATTTAATCTGTTAGCACATCAGCATCAGATTATCACTCTCAGGACTTTGAAATGATTGTGCAAACGACTGTCTGTTTCAAAAAAAGAACCACACGGATTTGGAAGATATTGCTTCTTTTGTGGAAGAGGAGCTTCCAGGCAGTGGTCGAATGCAAGGAGGTTACATGTGCGTGCCATTCAAGAGGTTTGTTGTTTCTCAGCAGACAATGAGGATGGTCATTGGTCATCAAGAGTTTGGATGCAGTGGGAGTTGAACTTCGACAAGCACGGTGTCTCAGCCGTTGTAATATTATGACTTTATTCTAGTAATACTAAGACTTTATTCTCAAAATTTTACAAATTTATTCTCAAATTATTTAGACTTTATTCTCATTATTATGATTTTATTCTCGTAATACTACGACTTTATTCTCAAAATGTTACAACTTTATTCTCATATTATTATGACTTTATTCTTGTAATTTTTTTACTTTTTGCTCATAATCATCGTAGTATAC